TTTTAATAGTTATAAAGTGATATAAACACACAATTTATCTGATGTAGATGGTACCGGATACGGTGGTCATTGATCCTCAATGCAAGGCACGTAGCAACTGGTAATGCCTCTTTAACAGTTAAAACAGTCTCCGGTTTTCTACAATCATAATACTAAGAACTAATAATTTTGAAATAATTTCAAAATAAAACTCTGTTTTATTTATTTAAAATAATAATAATATTTTTTGCACATTAAGTGTACAATTGGCGTACTTAATTAATGCCTTAAGGTATTCTCTAGCAGTCAACCACGAGCTAATACACATATTATATAAGCAAGACACACATTTCAAGCAGCATACTTACATATGAACATAATATATTTAAATAGAAAGCATAATTATAAAATTTAAGATAGTTAGCCACTGGAAGAAGAAAGGTATTCATTAGACACCATTCTCTTTAAGGCAGGAACAGAAGTCGGTTTCCTAATGTATGGAGGTAATTTATTCTAAAGCCTTTATGGCTTCAGTGGCGAAAGTCTGAGACTCAAATTTACTCAATATTGAGGCCTAGCTTGACCGTTCTGTCCCATAATGTAATGTTTCTTATATTACATTTTTCTTCTATTTTTCCAATAACGATTCCCACCAAGGATCATTCGCGAGACAATGGAAAATTAAAGAAAAATATCAAAATTTCAATAGATAAAATGGCTGGGTACTAGAAACTGTTTGGGATCCTTTAATAAATAAAATTAAATCCAAACCGCTTGGATTTGGATCTGGACAGTAAACATGTAGCCGGCTGCGTATAAAAATTCTATCCAAACCGTGCCACTGCAAGATTTAAGATGCATTACTGTTAGCTCGTTTGGCGTAGATTTGACCGATATTAATATTCAAAAGCTAGAGGTAGCCTGGGTTGAATATGACATTGGGACGCCCCCCGTGACCATGGTTGCTATAAAGCACCAGAAAACACGAAAATAGAAATAAATAAAAATAATTAAATTGTAAAAAACACAACCAGTCAACCCGCTTGCAAAGCGTGGTGACCGTGGGAAATTCTCCCATAATGGATAAATGGATGGAAGTTAAATTATATGCGATAAAATTCGTTAAACTATTTCTATTTCAATGTCCTATACCAGCTGCTCATGTTTTATTTCCGGAAAACTATTGTCTTATACATAACAAATGACTCTTTACGGAACGTACATAAACCTCCATCGTCGTTCTTAACATTCGTGTGCAATAGCTTACAAAAATCCATAATTAATCTAAATTTAATAGAACTATATTTTCATTGGAAAATTTTTATATAAAACTAGCGATTCGCCACGGCTTTGCACGGGTGATTTCTGGATTTCAACAATAGCGCCACTAACCGGGATTAATAGTAATAGTAACGATCCAGGGACCCACGCAAACACACACAAAAAATTCAATCACTTAAGAACGGCTGGAACGATTTTGATGTTCATCAAAATCGTGATGATAATGATCTTTCATACATGCGGCACTTGATTTTCATTTATGTAGATTGAAGTGACTACCGCATTTATGAGCTGATGGTTAGTGACTACTGCAGTCCATGGACACCTGTCGCCAATACCATACAAATTAACTACGTGTACAGATGTTTTGCCAAATTTGAATACAGATGCTTCGCCAACTCCGAGGACCAAGATGGCATACTTCAATGCATTTTTACTAGATCTCTTTACTCCTCATAGAGAAACACAGCAAAGCAAGCAATGCTGGTTGGTGGCAAATATAGATAGGAGGGTGGTATGGAATAAAAATAATTTTACGGAATTTATGGCGTTTAATTTTAACTTTGCTACAGTACCCATGGTCACGAGAGGGACCATGAGTGCTGTAAAGTTCCAAAGGGTGTCAGGATCGTACCAAATGAAAGCCCATAGTCTCTTCCTTGAGTGACAGGTAGGTATGTATGTAACGCAGTCCGCAACACCGAAGCTACTGCAGCGACTGAGCTGTCAAATTAGGATCGTAGTACTCCTTACCTACCTAGGAGTGCGTCTAAGCAAGTATTACCCACTTATAATGATTTCTTACTCGTATAATAACGCGAATACTACACATGGAATAAAACAAATTTTACGGATTTTATCGCGTTTAATTTTAACTATTAATCCCCCAACTTTCGGGCACTTTACAGCACACATGGTCACGGGAGGAGGGGTTCTGAGGTATTTGACATTATAGTTAACGAAGGCTACCTTCAACTTTTAATTATTAATTTGTATTATCGACAACTTATATTCACAATGCATTATGTTGGTTTAGAGCCAAAAAAGAAAACCACCAATTTTAGGCCCAATGGGTGACGCTGACGCCGTGGTCGACTTATTAATTAACTTTAAATTTACAGTGTAAAAAGTTGTCTACATTGAATTCGGTATGAGACAAATCACACCATCTACCGATAAAAGGCAAAACAACGTCTGCCGTGCCTGCTACAATAATAAACGAATTCATCATGGTTCCAAATATAACAAGAAACCTTGAAGTATTGTCTTTATTAGTAACGCTATACAGCGACTAGTAGAATGTGAATAATTATGTACATCACTGATAAACAGCTCAGCTTCCACCAGGGTTGTAAACTCTACTATATATTTTGTCATCCTACTATATTAGGAGCATAAATAAAATAATTTAAAAAATAAGAGAAACTATTATCTATACAAATAAATAAAATTGATGTGTCTGTTTGTAATGTCAAAATTACAGATTTTTACTAAATACATATGAAAGTATATACGGTACTAATAACAAAAATATAATTTTTAAAGTTTTGTCTGTCTGTCTGTCTGTTTGTTCCGGCTAATCTCCGAAACGGCTGGACCGATTTTGACAGGATCACTGGCAGATAGCTGATATCACAGGGAGTAACTTAGGCTACATTTATTTAAAAAAAAAAGAATCGGGTTCCGCGCAAAAAAAAAAATCCCCAAATAACGCGCGGGTGAAGTCGCGGGGAATAGCTAGTATTTAGATAAAAATGACTTATGTTAATGTGAGGCCGTATATAACGGCTCAAAGGACCAATAATATTTCTTTGATAAACAAAATATTTATTTGAATCATTTAGGTATTTTATTCCCTCGCCATTTACTTAGCTAAATAGTGGGACTCCTTTTCTGTCTAGAAGTGTACCTGGGCAGGTACCACCTTCTTACCCATTTCTCCACTAATTAGCTACGCCTGCACTGCTGTGTACCAGTCTGAAGTGTATAGAGGGCTAGTATCATAAGAGACTGTGAGGTATTCTATCTTGATCCACGTAGACAATCTGTATCTGTATCTGTAGACTGCTTTGCTTGGAGTTGGTGACAGGTGTCCGTGAGCTGAAGTGAAGCTGAATTACCATCAGGTCGACTGTATATTTGTTGATCATTGCAGTTTTTTTAAAAAATGTAATATATTTTTCAGGCAAATTTTATATTTGGTATAATAAAGTTGGCAACCCTAGTCTCGGTTAACAATGTGTGTGTGCGGGTAGTAGAGTCTGCAAACACAATTATCGGATTAATTATAGCGTACGTGATTTGCTTTTGGAGTTAATGATAGAATAATTTATGTTGTTGGTTATTGTTTGTTACAGATACAAAAAGTATTGTGTGCGCTTAATTTACTGTATATTAATTGATATAATCAGCTGTTGGTTTGCGGAAAGTATAAAATATCATTACATTAGCATACAGATTTTAGCAAATAAATTTTGTTAAAAATATTCTGTGTAACGAAACTGTAAGTTTGCTTAGCTTATAGTTCACCTGAGAGTAAGTGGCAACTGCAGCCCATGGATACCGACTTCAAACAGAAGGCTACAGATACGATGTCACCGCTAGGACTAAGATGAAATTCCTCACGCATGTAATCAAAAAAATCAAAGTGCTAGCTAATACTAACTTAATGCAAAACTGGAGGAGCTTAACGTCACATATAACACAATCTTCTCTGAGGAACACTGCGCACATGGTTCAGATCGTACTTTACACTGAAGATACAGATCACACAGCCAAACGCGCTCCAGCGAGCCGCTGCGTTCGCGCCAGCGGGGCGTCTACACCACACTCGTGGCAAAGAGCCGTTACCACCGTTCTCACGGCAGTGAGTCGACTGCACCGCACTCGCAGCAGCGAGCCGAAGGCACCGCACTCGCGGCAGCGAGCCGTCAGCACCGCACTTGCGGCAGCGAGGCGTCGACACCGCACTTGCGGCAACGAGCCGTCGGCACCACACTCGCACCAGTGGGCAGTCACGCAGCTCTCGCGCCACCGGGCAGTTGCGCAGCACTCGCGGTAATAAGCAGTTGTGCGGCACTCTCGCCAGCGGGCATTCGCGCAGCACTTACGGTAGCAAGTCATTTCTCGCTGCACTCACGCCATCGGGAAGTACCGCAGCACTCGCGGCAGTGAATCTTCTCGCGCTACACCAGCTGCAATGGGCTGTCCAGACTTCTACACTGTAGGCACCAAGTTTGCATACCTCTCAGTGGCTGCTGACAGACATAAGCACAAAGTTAGCGTTAATTAATACCTGAAATCTTTATCATATTGGATTTTACTCCAAGTAGTTTTAATGTAAAATTTTAAGAACAAAAGAGTCAAAGCAAAATACATGGAAACAATTACGTCAAATGCACAAGCGTGTACTCAAGATCTTCAAACACAGTGCCTGCAGTCTCGAAATAGATAGCGATCGCCTAACAACCAATATCGGTTGTTAAGTCATAACAATCCTAATATAACAATATTTGGTAGTCTCTACTGTCAAAGTTATCAATTTAATAACGTTACCGTAACAACACTATTAAAAACTTTACAATCTATTGATATGTTAGCAAATATTTTATCAACCAAATTTGAGAGCCCGATAAGTGTACGTTACGATCATAAGCCTCTTTAAAAATTTGTTTTGGAGTTTTATCGATTTAAAATCTATATTCTATCATAATATATAATTATAAAAGTATTAAGTAATAATGGCGGAATCATATCTAGCATGGGATTTATCAGTGCTAGAACACAGGCGTGTTATGGTTATGCGGCGGCAAATCGCACGAAACCGGCGCGAAAGTGAAAATCCTTTGGATTTAGAGGATAGTGAATTCTTGTACCTTTACAGAGTTACAAAAGATATGTTTAGCGAGCTCGTAGGTGCACTTAGGCCATCTCTTCAAAAACAACGGCCGTACGGACTTTCTGTAGAGTCCCAAGTGAGTGTCATCATGTAAATGCCTATATACCTTTAAAAACTAACTCTTTTTCGTTTGTATTAACTCTTAGTTTCATTTTCTTCTAAATAGCTACTGACGGCACTTCGATTTTATGCAAGTGGGTGCTATCAGCTACCTGTTGGCTTACAGTGGGGTTGCAGCATGAGCCAAAAATCGGTTAGCCGAGTAGTACATGCTATAACCGAAGCTATTAATGAAAAATTATTGAGAAAATATATAAAATTCCCTATGACCCCTGAAGGGCGGCGAGCAGCTAAAGCAAAATTTAGGAATGCCCCACAGCCATTTCCGGATGCGATAGGAGCCATAGACTGCACACACATAAAAATTCTAGCTCCAAAGTTGCATGAAGAGGCATATGTGAGCGGTCACCATGAGGGACATTCATTAAATGTACAAGTTGTAAGTTTAATCTTCAGTAGTTATTGTTTACCTATTTATTTGCTAGTTAAGTTTCAGGAGCGGTGCTGAAGCTTTTTAAAACAACTAAATATGTCTCCATGAAATTTACACTACAATAATGTATTATTGTAACATAATAGCTATATATTTCAGTGCAAAACTGATTTCCTTAACTAAGTGATAACATTACTATGATGAGAATTGTAATTATAATAAAACTTATTCTAAATCCAAGGGCTTTTATAGGATGGTTAAAACAAGTCTGTTGACTGAAAATATGACACCTTGGTTTAACCAGCAATAACAATTAATTATAGTGGAGTCAGTGTCTTCTGTAATGTTATACTTCATAACATGTTTTCAGTAATCCAATATCAAAAGCTTAATCAGCACAGTTCACAGTCAAACATGTTATTGTAAAATTATGACTACTAGCAATTATCATGTTTATGAGTAATCTAATATCAAAATCTAAGTGAGAACAATTTGGGATCAACAGGTTTTAAGGCTATTTATAGACTGCATAACTTGCTTTGAAAACATGAACAAAGTATCTTCCCCTTATTATTGATAGTAAAAATAGTCTTATTAGATACATTTTACTCAGCAGTTTAGGCGAAAAAGTTTAAATTATACTAATTAGTCTTAAGGGCTTAAATTGTAATTTTATTGCACCTAGTTACACTCTGGAACATCATCATCATCAATAATAAATAAATCTATTTACTTATTTATTAGCACAAATAGGTACACCCCTAATTAAAAGTATATTTTAAATTATTTTAGGTGTGTGACCCAGACCTGTTAATTTTGAACATCAATGCTAAATGGCCAGGAGCCAGACACGATGCTCACATATGGGCAAATTCACCTGTACGCTCAACCATGAAGCGACATTTTGACAATGGGGATCGCCGTACATGGTTACTTGGTAAGTTAAAGACCAATTTTACTAGAATGGAATGTCTGTAAGACTGCCGAATGTAATTTCGATGTTTAAACTTTTAGGTGATGATGGATATCCTCTGGAGCCATGGTTGATGACCCTAATAAAAAATCAACACCTTGGGACGCCGGAGCGTAGATACACAGATGCTCATGGTTCAGCCAGAAACATCATAAAAAGATGCTTTGGTGTGCTAAAGTCTGTTTTTAGGTGTCTGTCTCATCAACGCCAGTTAATGTATGAGCCATACACTGCTGGCCTAATAGTAAATGCATGTGCAGTACTACACAACATGCGTATTAAATATAGATTGCTGGAACCATATGTCACCACATCCACAGAAATCATTGTTGATAGCTATAATGATGATGGCTTGGAAGATACAGGTAATAATGTTGTTTAGGTAATATTAGATTAGACTTTGTTGTCTTAATCTAATATTACCTTTGTTAATCTTAAAATTGCATGTTTCTATTACAGGACGAGTAACTGGCACTGGGCGAGCTATTGCAGAGCGAATACAAAGAAGATTAATAAATAATACCGTTACTTAATTATCTGTAGTATTATCCTATGTTTGAATAATCTTAAAATTGTGTTTTTATTACAGGAAGAGTAACTGGCACTGGGCGAGCTATTGCAGAGCGAATACAAAGAAGATTAATAAATACTACTTTTACTTAATTATCTATAGTATTATGCTATGTTTGAATAATCTTAAAATTGTGTTTTTATTACAGGAAGAGTAACTGGCACTGGGCGAGCTATTGCAGAGCGAATACAAAGAAGATTAATAAATAATACCGTTACTTAATTATCTGTAGTATTATCCTATGTTTGAATAATCTTAAAATTGTGTTTTTATTACAGGAAGAGTAACTGGCACTGGGCGAGCTATTGCAGAGCGAATACAAAGAAGATTAATAAATACTACTTTTACTTAATTATCTATAGTATTATGCTATGTTTGAATAATCTTAAAATTGTGTTTTTATTACAGGAAGAGTAACTGGCACTGGGCGAGCTATTGCAGAGCGAATACAAAGAAGATTAATAAATACTACTTTTACTTAATTATCTATAGTATTATGCTATGTTTGAATAATCTTAAAATTGTGTTTTTATTACAGGAAGAGTAACTGGCACTGGGCGAGCTATTGCAAAGCGAATACAAAGAAGATTAATAAATACTACTTTTACTTAATTATCTATAGTATTATGCTATGTTTGAATAATCTTAAAATTGTGTTTTTATTACAGGAAGAGTAACTGGCACTGGGCGAGCTATTGCAGAGCGAATACAAAGAAGATTAATAAATAATACCGTTACTTAATTATCTGTAGCATTATCCTATGTTTGAATAATCTTAAAATTGTGTTTTTATTACAGGAAGAGTAACTGGCACTGGGCGAGCTATTGCAGAGCGAATACAAAGAAGATTAATAAATACTACTTTTACTTAATTATCTATAGTATTATGCTATGTTTGAATAATCTTAAAATTGTGTTTTTATTACAGGAAGAGTAACTGGCACTGGGCGAGCTATTGCAGAGCGAATACAAAGAAGATTAATAAATAATACCGTTACTTAATTATCTGTAGTATTATCCTATGTTTGAATAATCTTAAAATTGTGTTTTTATTACAGGAAGAGTAACTGGCACTGGGCGAGCTATTGCAGAGCGAATACAAAGAAGATTAATAAATACTACTTTTACTTAATTATCTATAGTATTATGCTATGTTTGAATAATCTTAAAATTGTGTTTTTATTACAGGAAGAGTAACTGGCACTGGGCGAGCTATTGCAGAGCGAATACAAAGAAGATTAATAAATACTACTTTTACTTAATTATCTATAGTATTATGCTATGTTTGAATAATCTTAAAATTGTGTTTTTATTACAGGAAGAGTAACTGGCACTGGGCGACTTATTGCAAAGCGAATACAAAGAAGATTAATAAATACTACTTTTACTTAATTATCTATAGTATTATGCTATGTTTGAATAATCTTAAAATTGTGTTTTTATTACAGGAAGAGTAACTGGCACTGGGCGAGCTATTGCAGAGCGAATACAAAGAAGATTAATAAATAATACCGTTACTTAATTATCTGTAGCATTATCCTATGTTTGAATAATCTTAAAATTGTGTTTTTATTACAGGAAGAGTAACTGGCACTGGGCGAGCTATTGCAGAGCGAATACAAAGAAGATTAATAAATACTACTTTTACTTAATTATCTATAGTATTATGCTATGTTTGAATAATCTTAAAATTGTGTTTTTATTACAGGAAGAGTAACTGGCACTGGGCGAGCTATTGCAGAGCGAATACAAAGAAGATTAATAAATACTACTTTTACTTAATTATCTATAGTATTATGCTATGTTTGAATAATCTTAAAATTGTGTTTTTATTACAGGAAGAGTAACTGGCACTGGGCGAGCTATTGCAGAGCAAATACAAAGAAGACTCATAAATACTAATTTTACTTAATTATCTAGTATTATGTTATATTAGTTATAATGTTATCATAGTCATGATGTGTATAGTAAATGTTTCATATTAATTGTACAAAGTAATATACTGTAAATTGATTTTATAAAAAAAAAAAGTCCCGCTGGGTTTCTTGCTGGTTCTTCCCAGGACAGAGGTTTTTTTTTCGAACCAGTGGTAAAAGTAAAAACATTACTAAAAAATTTATATTGAATAAAAATTATTCTATTCTATTATGTGAAGTGAAACAAAACATTAAACATCTTATTTTATTTATTTTTTTTATTTATATATAATATAAAGGCATCTGCTATTTTATTGGCAGCCTGTGCTAACGAAAGAGACGCCTCTGCCTGCACTTTTGCCGCCTCTGCTTGCATTTTGGCAGCCGCTGCTTGCACTTCAGTTGCAACTGCCAGCATCTGTAATTAAAAAATATGTAAAAAGTAGTTATTCATGTTTTAATAGTGTGCTAATAACCCACTGAGCTTATGTTCAGTATAGTAATATTAATATAAGGCAGTTATTAAACAACAATAATACAGATAAACACATTTATTTGTATATAGATTATAACAACATATTGACCAACTAATTCAGTAAAAAGGGTATCCGGTTCTCTACACTCACAATACAAAACAAAGCAGTGTTAAGCTGCTATTTTACGTTGGTATTCCGTGCGAGCGTGGTCCTTCCTCAGTCAAGCCGACCTATTCATGCTACAACTATACTACTAATACAGCTGCAGAATGGCTCTACCACATAAAAATATATATTGTTGGTTTTTTCTTCTGTTTAGCTTAGAATATAGATGTAATATTATAACATACCCTAATTGCTTCTGCATTTGATTCTGCAACTGCCAAAAATCCTGACGTGCCATATTTGCTTGCTCAGCAACAGAGTGGCGAGGATTCAGATCTAAAAATACCCAAAATTTATTTTATTGTAATTAAAATCACTTTTAGCTTTATTCTGCTCAAGCTGATCATCTTGTGAACTAATGTTTATATTATTAACACTTAATTAAAAATCAAGCTTACTCCTTATCCTTCTGGGCCTCTCTCGTTGAACAGTAGGTGGTGAGGTAATAACAGCTGCTGCTCTGCTGCCACTCACTGCTGAAATAATGAAATACACATGAAATGATCACAATCTTACCAATAGTATAAATGTGATTTTTTTTATAGGATAAGGGTGACAAACGAGCACACAGTCCACCTGATGGTAAATTATTGCTGTGGCCCATAGACATCTACATCTAATCTCGATTACGAATCAAAATGGAGATGTGTTGCCACCCGTGAGGACTAAGATGGAATGCCTCGTTTCCAGTAAAAAGGGTCTCTGGTTCTCTACACTCATCATACGAAACACAGCAGTGTTAAGCTGCTATTTTGCGCTGGTATTCTGTGAGAATACCAGCGTACAATTACGTTTTTGACGTACGTTGTCAATATTTGCAAAGATTTTTGTTTATTTATTACGTTCCTAGATCAAAAAACATTGAACTACCATACCATTCATATTGATACCATCCATACCATCTGGGTGATTGGCTGTCCACCACTGTGCGATTTAGAAGTTTTCTCTCTCGCACAACTTCCTTATGGAATCGATTACCACCAGCGATTTTTCCGGACCGATACGACTTAGGGACCTTCAAGAAATGAGCCTATTCATTTTTAAAAGGCCGGCAACGCATCTGCAATTCCACTTATGTTGCAGTTGTTTATAGGCGGCGGCAGTCACCATCAAGTGAGCCGCATGCTCGTAAAAAATCCCCTCTCCTATAAAAAAAACTCTATTAGTTGCAACCAACAATTTACTCAAACCTCGGTTCAACATTAGTTTAACAGAGATATTATATATTTGCAGTATTGTCATAATTTTAAAGAATCATTTACACGTAACAATAATTTATTTTCTTTAACCCCGTGAACCAACAGACAAGCTGTGCTTGATGAGAGTACAGCAGTGCAAAAAAATGTTTAACGAACTCACTACTGGTAAAGGCAACATTGTACTTTTAATCGTTACAAGTGGTTAACCTTTTTTTTTTGTTTTTACGACAATATTTTATAATAAGATATGGGTGTTCGAAAATTAAGATCCGTCGATGCATGCAATAGAATCACATTCTTTTAAAAACAGCAGAAGATTTATATGAAAATTGGCACACAGACCATTTTGTCTTGAAATAGTGGATAAAACAGCGGAACACAAATAGATAATGTATGTAAATAGGAATTATATGAATAACAAAGCTCAAACTTACTTATTTGTGGTGCTGCTGACTGCAAAGTTACCTCTTGGTCCTGTTGGTTAGTGGGTGAAGCAACAGCTGTAGCTCTGCTGCCACTTGCTACTAAAATAATCAAATATAAAATATATTAGTGAAATATAATCATCTAGAGAGGTATGAATAAAGGTGTAATAAAAATAACATAAACGTACTAATTTGTGGTGCTGGCAATGCTTGATCTTTCTCTGTCTCAAGCAACTTGTATTCATTACCTGTAATTAAAATTTGTGTTTTAATACATTGCAGGTAAGTACATTTAAAGTGCAACAGAATTTACATTATATTTTGAATATACTTCTCTTAGAAACTTACATTGAGACAAAGAAATAACTTCCACCATATCCATCCCAGCCTCCATCTCATGTTGTAATGTCTATAATAATTAGTAAAAGTATTTATTATTGTAAATTGCATTAAAACCAAAAACTAAGATTACGAAGTTTGATTAAGTATATGAAATTGTATATAAGTAATTATTAAGCCACTACTGAACTCACTTCTTCCTCTGGCATTGAGTCGGGGCAGTCACTGCCAAATGTGTACTCAAGACCTATAAGAGACACGATCTTTTTTTCCATCTCTGTCAGTGGAGCAGTGGTGATGCCTTGGTTGCCGGTCTGCAACCTTTCTCGTTTTAATTTTGCGGCTTTAGTGCAGGCCCGGCATTTCAAGTCTCTCCATACCTACAAAATAAATAATTATGTATTTTAAGTAAATATTAGTTACATAATGTGCTGGCTCATTTATGTATAAGCCATTAGTAGTAAATCTGGAAAATTCTTTGATAGAAACTTAACTGTTATCCACTGCTCAGGCGTATTGACGGCTCCGTTGGGAAGTTGGTTTAGCTCATCGGCAACTTCCCTCCAGCCCGTTTGATAGTTTTCTCTGCCCCGCAGGCCACTAAATTTTTTGGTATATAAATATGGCCGAGCTTCTAACATGGCCAACAGTGCCTCAAGCTGCCCACTCGTAGCGCGTGATGTACGCTTACGTCTGAAACATACATAGAAGTAAATATTAAAAATGCAAAAATTACAGTCTCTAAACAAACCATTCAATAAACAACGATAGATTCGATTCGAGTTGTACTTACTTAACGCATCTCGAAACCGGGCTTGCGCCTGCGTCAGTGTCCCCCACCAGACATAATATATATATATATCATAAACTTTGATAAAAATCGGAATATATAAATATTTTGTTTTATTATAATAGTAAATACGTTAGGTACGTTGTCAAATCAAAACTGACCGTTTTGTTTTTTTTTTGGATTGACATTAACATCAGTGTTGCAAGGAGGCAAACTTTAAGGTCCTTTGATATTTAACAAATTACTTCAATTCTTAGAAACGGTAAAATCTGCTTGTAAGTTACTATAAAAAATATTTTTAT